CCATCCATCATCCATCTATCCATCCATTCATCATCTATCCATGCATCTATTCTCTATCCATCCACCTATCCATCATCCATCCATCCATCATCTTCGCATCCATCAACTATCTGCCTATCCATTCATCCACCCATCCATCTATCCATTCATCCAACATCTATCCTTCCATCATCCATCTATGTCTTTCCTCCTACAGGATCATCTATAACGTGACTGACATTCCTTCCACTTCCCACTGAGACGTGGGATCTATGTTCTCACCTTAAATCTCAGTGGGGGTTGGGACACCTGGGTGACTCAGTCAGGTGAGCCTCCAACTCTTGGTTATGGCTCAGGTCATGACCTCAGGTTTTAAGATCGAACTCTGTATCAGGCTTCATGCTCAGCACGGAGTCTGCTTGAGATTCTTTCCCCTCTCCCTCTCCCTCTGCTCCTCCCTCCGGCGCTCACTCTCTCTCTCTCTCTCTCTCTCAAATAAATAAAATCTCAAAAAAAAATCTCAGTGGGAGTTGTGATTGCTCCAACCAGTGAAGGATGGTTGCAAGACAGCACACAGACTTCTTAGGCTGGGTCATAAGAGGACATAACTTCCACTTGGGGCACACTCTGGGTCACTATCTTTCCATTCCGGTCTCTCCTCGGGAGCCTGAGCTGCCAGGTACAAAGCCCGGCCCCCAGCCACCACACTGCAGAGACCATGTGGAGAGGGCCCAGAGAGACAGGGAAGCCCCAGCTGCCAGAGACCTCGCAGCTCAGGTCTGGGCCGTGCCCATGCAACTGAGAGCCTCAGGTGGGGCAGCCAATCCCAGAGACATGAAAATGAGAATCATACAATGCTGTAGTTTGAAACTGAGTTTGGGGTGGCCTGCAGCACAGCAAGGACTAACTGGCGTAGTGGGAGGAGAGAGGAGGCTGGAGGAGCAGGGGCCACAGGGCTGTGTACCTCGGGACTCCATGGCCCTGGGCAGACACCCACATCCAAGCACTCAGTCCCAGGGGCCGGGAGGCCCCTCATAGTGACCCTCTTGTCTCCAGGGGGGTCTTCTCTGGGCGGGGCTCCTGCCACCCCCAGATCCCATTTCTACCCCTTGCAGCCTCTACCCTTAGGCACAGTTTGTGGGTGCAGGCAGCGAACCCCTTGCCACCCATCACTGACTCCCCTGTGGTGCCAGGTCCACAGCAAGCACCTGCGGCTCCCCTTCTCTCTGAGCCCCCAAGCCCCCAGCCTGGCCGTCAGGTCAGGAATATCTGGGGCCTGAGGGATGCACAGACCTGGTCCTATCTGCAGTTCCTGGGGAACACAGCACACACTGTCCCCTCTAGGGGACCCTCTTCAGGCACTGCGGTGCTGCCACTGTCCAGCAGGGGCCGCCATGCCACCATATTCTGTCCCCGAGGTGCCACTGACCCTGCAGGTCAATGGGAAGAGGGAGAGCTGGTTTCCTCTGAGTGGTTGGCCCCCACCCCTGCCCCAAATTACTGGGCTTTTGTAACAAGTCGGGGGGATAGCACCAGATCCCACAGTCCAACTCTAAAAGCCCCAAAGTGGTAACCAGGCCAACATCTTCAGAAGGGTCTGTCCTTCAGCTCCAGGACACGCCTGGAGGAGAAGTGCTCCCCTGGGGGTGTCCCCAGTCCCACCCCCACACCCATCCAGGACCCGCTGTCCTTCCAACACCGCCTGCCCACCACAAGCCTCCTGGATCCCACACCTGCAGCCCCAAGCTTCCATCCCTGGGCCTTGCTCCACCCCAGGGCCCAGGAGAACGTTTCCCCTTGGAGTGCAGAGAAGCTGGGTGTCCCCCAGGCAGCGAAGGGCTCTCCTCTGTTCAGTGGGGCAGCTGCTAAAATCTAAAACTGTAACATAGCAAGCAGAGTCCTGCCCTGGAAGTTCTTGTCCCCCGTGTCACGGCCAGGGAGCCCCCACCCCCGCCAGAACACAGCTGTTAGGGTGCTGGGGTCGACTATGCAAGCACATCCCCTGCCTCACACTCCTCGTGCACCCAAGTAACTTCCTCTCCTACCTCCTTCCCCTCCTCGAGTGACCTGGGCCTATTCAGGCTCACTGTCCAGCACATGGTGCGGGCCCTGTGGCCGAGACACGTCCAGGCTCTGCGGGCCCGGGAGTTCGGGTGCAGCTGTAGCAAGGGGGGGGCCACAGGCATGCGTCCCTCTTCCTGCCCCCTGACCTCTCTGCGTGGGGTCCCCAAGGGGACTCACTTGGGCTTCCTCAGAGCTCAGCAGCCTCTAAGTCCAGATTCACAGAAGTGGACAGAGGCCCACCCCACGTGCATAGGCTTTAAAATGGCCCTACTGCTCTGGGGTTTCACTGGACTGAGGGCAAGAGGCTGGTCCAAACCCCGAGACAGGCCGGAATTGGGGGGGGCAAGCTCGAGAACAAGGCGCTCTCCCGCTCTCACCCCTGCAGCCCCTCCCCTCCAGGGCTCAGCAGTAAATCCACAGCTTTCCAGAGATTCTGTTGGCTATCTTCTGAGTTCAGGGAGAAAAAGGGAGAATGGTAAGAAACAAAGCAGACAATGGGGCGCCTGGGTGGCTCAGTCGGTGAAGCATCTGCCTTCGGCTCAGGTCATGACCCCGGGGTCCTGGGATCCAGCCCCGCATCGGGCTCCCTGCTCCGCGGGAAGCCTGCTTCTCCCTCTGCCACACCCCCTGCTCATGCTCCCTCTCTTCTCTTTCAAATAAATAAAATCTTTTAAAAAAAAGCACCAAGCAGGCAAGAGCACTTATTTCGAGACATCTCGTCCTCCTGGCGGTTGCAGGTACCCTCCGCCCTGCTGCTTGTGCGTCCTCGGGCTGCATCCACACCCCCAACTGCTCTGACCCCTCCCCGGCCCGCTGCCTTCCGAGGGGACACAGCCTGGCCTGGAAGAATCAGGGGTGTCCACCAGGAGGAGAAGGGAAGGGTCCGCACGAAGCGAGCATGAAAGGCACTACAACATGACAGCAGGGCTCCTGAGAAGTGGCTGGGCACGGTTCCCCAGCCCACCCCAGGGACTGATCAGTCAAAGCCAAGAGGCTGGAGGCCAGGTTGGCGTGGCTAGACGCCACAGACACGTACTCCAGTCCCTCCAGGAGCACAGAAGCCTGCTCTGGCCTGGGTCACGTCTGTCTCAGGACGGCCACTCTGCAGATGGAGCTGCCGCTGGGTCTATGCCAGGCCTGATGGCTGACCAGGCACCAAGCATGATCTGCTTGGCCTCGGAGCTCCGTGCCCACCCAGTGGGGCCTGGTGGTCTCCCTCTGGCCCACGACCCCCCCACCTCAGGACGCACAGCCCCCCGCTCCTGTGCTGCCCAGGGGCCTGCAGACTGGCCCCCTTGCACAGAGCAGAGCCACCCACTGCTCCTCTCTAGGCCCAGGAGAGGGAGAGGCGGACAGGTGGGCCAGCCCTGACTGCAGGGCACAGAGGTCATCAAGCAGGCCCAGGGAGAACAGCCCTGTCCCGGGAAGAAGAAAGAGATGACTGGAGACGAGATGCCGGAGGGTCCTCAATGGGGAGGGAGATGAGAGTCCTGAAGTCTGCAGTTCCAGTGAAGTTGTCATGGCTCTCGGGGGGCGCAGACACGAACTAGACCCACGTGGCAGATCTGCAGGCCTGTGGGGCAGCGACTGCCCCATCCACCTTCACGGCTCTGGATCCCATAGGTCTGGCATCAGGAAGGACCTGCCTGCCTCGATCTTCAACATTCCCGGACCTGCTCACCACTTGGGCCAGCAGAGGAGCATTTTAAAGCGAGACCACGACACAACAGCAGAAGCCACCTGGGCTTCCGCCCTTCCTGAGTGCCCAGCAAACCTACACAACAGTGGTCTCAGGCTTCCTAAGGCCTTGGACGCCTGGGGAACACGTGGCGTGTCCCCTAAGGAAAGTACGCTGGTGGATGACGTCCCTCTAGGCCAACATCAGCAGGGCCCTGACGGAGCCCAGTCAGAGCGACTGGCACCTGCCACCTGGCCTGGACCCTTCTTCCCTTCTTCCCAGGAGGTGCCCCTTCCCTCTGCGAAGTTCTGTGCACAGGTCACCGTGAATCTGGTTCCATTCCTGCACAAGACTGGACATTGGTAATTTTACTCACTACAACAAAGTCACTTCTGTGGCCTGACAGAAAGCTCTCCAATGTCTCCTGAAATAATAAAATATCTGCTTTCAACAAACTGAGGGTTGCTGGAGTGGTGGGGGGTGGGAGGGATGGGGTGTCTGGGTGACAGACATTGGGGACGGTATGTGCTACGGTGAGCGCTGTGAACTGTGCAAGACTGTTGAATCACAGATCTGTACCTCTGAAACCAATAATGCAATATATGTTAAGAAAAAAAAAAAAAGAAGATAGCAGGAGAGGAAGAATGAAGGGGAGTAAGTCGGAGGGGCAGACGAACCATGAGAGACGATGGACTCTGAAAAACAAACTGAGGGTTCTAGAGGGGAGGGGGGTGGGGGGATGGGTTGGCCTGGTGATGGGTATTAAAGAGGGCACGTTCTGCGTGGAGCACTGGGTGTTATGCACAAACAATGAATCATGGAACACTACATCAAAAACTAATGATGTAATATATGGTGATTAACATAACAATAAAAAATTTAAACAATAAAATCTCTGCTTTCTCGCCCATAAAGAATCTCACTGAAAGACTGAATCCAAATGCCCGGTGGCTGGAATGACAGGCACATAGCTCCTTCTTTCCCAGGAAGGACGGGCCTGAAGCTGGCAGTGCAGACAGAAAGCAGTCTTTCTGGCCTCCAAAGGGGACACCCGAGCAGACTGCCACACCCCTCCCCCAAAAGGCCCATGAAGCCACCATGAGTGGCACCAGGCCCGCCCCCGGCTGCCCTACGTGCTTTGCAGAACTGTATCTGGACACAAAACCAGTGCGCTTTTCCCAGGAAAAATAAACCAGGCTATTTATGGACAATATAAAATTGCAACCACAGGCGTGTAATTTATAGGTGATATAAAATAACAACCGAACACAGAGAGTTCTCAAACTAATGATTTGTTTCTATAAAAATGATACATGCTTGTTATAAAATGCAATCATAAAGAAAAATACATGGAGGAAAGCCACATACATCCAAATGATTCTGTCACTCGGACATGTATCATGACCGTTCACTGCCCGGGATCCCAGACACCTCTCACGTGTACCTTAGATTAGAGAGACGAACACTGGACAGGAACGGAGTCATGACATACATGCAGGGGCTGGCTCTGACCTGATCCTGTTTGTCAAGTACATACCCGTTCTCTATCGTCCGCCAGCAAGAAGCAGCTGCAAAGCAAGTGCCAAAGATTTCAGAAAAATAGGGGCTTTAAACCCAGCCCTGAAAAAATTCGATCCATGACCGGGTTGCTGCAGATAACGAGACAAAGCTCCACAGCCGTGTGAGAGCACGTCTTCTGGGCACGGGCATGGGTGAGCTACTCACCATCCAGCAGCTCGGACCCAAGGCCCAGCCAGGCCCCGTGCTTCCGTGTCCCGCTCACATCACTGCTATAGGGTTCTTTGCAGTGTGGGGCGGTGTGGTCGGCAGAGTCCACATCCGCGTCCCTGGCCAGACCCCGCGAATCTGACTTTCCAGGGGGTGGTCAGGTTAAGGATCTTGGGCTGGCAGGGGACCCTGGATTATCTGGGTGGGCAGTGTCGTCAGGAGGGTCCTGGTCAGGAGGCAGGAGCGTCAAGAGTCAGGGAGAAGATGGGACAGCTGAGGACAGAGAGGACACTCTCCTGGAGGGCGGGCCCCAGGCCAAGGAACGTGAGAGCCTCTAGAAGCCAGAAAGAACAAGGAAACAGACTCTGGCCAGAGCCCCGAAGAAACGCAACCCTGTGGGCCTTATTTATGAGGAAAAAGCATTAATCTGTATTGTTTACACCACTGGGTCTGCGGTGACTTAACTGAGCACAGGACGCTTCATGGAGGGGAGAGTCCGTCTTGCTCTTGATGGTGGGACAGCTGGGCAGAGGGAACCCCAGTGCTACACCCCGAGCGCCCCTGGACACTCGTGTGGCTGAGGCCGTGGCCACATCCGGCGCGCCCCACCCCAGGGGTGGGGCCGGAGGGAAGCGGACTGAGGGGCTCATCTTCAGGGAAGGTGGCTGTGGGCCCAGGCCTGACCGTGGAGGCCCAGGTTCCCCGGCCTATCTCCCGCGTGAGAACACTTGGAAAACGTTCTGGAAGTTGTCTTTGGGCGCCTTTGAATACCGCTGCTGGCTTCCTGCAACCAGTGTGCGGGCGCTTTACATGAGCAAGGCCGGAGGACCGGGTGCTCTGGCACGGACAGGACTTCTGCACCCTACGCACCACGCGGCTGGCAACTCAGATCTGGAAAATCAAAGGCCGCGCCGGGAAGCTGTCCGCGACCTCTCCTCGCACGCTTCCTCCCCACTTGCCGAAACCGTTTGTCTTATCAGCTGCCTCAAAATCCACTGGATGCACCTCAGAATGAGAATTTACTCAACCACGCACACGGAAAGTTCAACCAGTTTAATGCAAAATACTTTTTTCATTTTGAAATAATTTTAGACTTCCAAAAATTTGCAAAAATAGGACAGAGTTCATATGCCCAGCTTCCCCAACCACCACCTTACATAACCACAGAACAAGAATCCAAGCATCCTGATAACCAGCCTGCACATCGCTGGGCCCCAGCGGCTGCCCGTCACTTGCTGGCCCGGGGCCCGCGTGGCCGTCAGTCTGTCTCCCCGGACCCCAGGCCTCTCGGGCCCCTGACACCTGTGAAGAGCACCGGTCCTCGCTCTGCAGACTGTGTGTAGTCTGGAGTCTGCTCACTGGAGGGAGGTAAGAACACCCCAGGAGGGCGTCAGACGGGGACACGAGCCGTGGGCAGGTCACCCAGCGTGACCACACCGACATCTCTGCTGCACCGCGGGAGGCCCCAGACCAGGCCAACACGGGTTTCGCGTCACACTCGGCCCGAGCCCAGGCCCCCGGTCGGTTCTCGTCGACACCCCCTGTGGCTGTGCTGTGACTGCCACCCCCCCCCCGCTATTTCTGCGGGGGACAGACCAGCGCCAGGAGCTGTCTCTCCCCGACCAACCGGGATCCCATTAGTGATACGTATCAGCGTGGACTCGTGCAGAGTCACTGATTGTGAAGACTGAGCCAATACAATATTCTGCTGCCCAAACTGGCCCAGACGTGGCTCCCCGGGGGGGCCTGTGTCCTTCCAACAAGCCCCCATCGTATTTCCGGCAATTCCTTACTTTCTGACACAAAAAGGTCCGGGCTCGGGTTGGATTTCCCACTCCGGCCCGGGCGCCAGCCAGCCCTTCAGGAGCCTGGTTCCAGCCGTTGGGAGCAGCACTCCGGCCTGAGACGGGGTGTGGGTGTGCACCTGCTGTGGGTGTCGCAGCTCAAGGCCCCTGGCTGCCAGAGCTGGCAGGTGCCCACATGGATGCACGCACAACACCTAAGTCCGTCTTTCTGTCCGGCCACCTTATCTGTGATGCAACAGGGACTCCCAAGATCCCGGCTCTTCTCTGCGCTCCCTAGCTCTCTGGTCCTAGAACACTCGTTTTCAGAGCTGGCCAGAGAACAGAACTTGTCTTCTGGTCCCCAGCCCGGTCCGACTCCTGCCTTCCACAGCTGCAGGGCCCGCTATGCCCCACCCCCACCGCAGCTGCACACTGGGTGCCCCACAGCCGTGTCATTTCTGAGCACGGAGAACGGGAATCCGGCTGAGTCAGAGCTACACGGCACACCGGCGACCATCCTCCTTAGTGTCTGCTTTGTCCTGCCTCAATTTCGTGTTTGCACAAACGTGCAGCTACTTCTGGTTCCCTGTCTTCCTTGTTACCGTTACTACAGGTGCTTCCAGAGTCTGCCTTTCTCACGTACGGCACCTGTGGTAGGAGGTCAGCCCGTGTCAGTTCAGATTCCACGCTTCCTGCCACGCAAGCCACAGGTCACTGACAGCTCGCCCGTGTGGGCATCTGGGTCACCTCAGTGTTTTCTAACTACAAACAAGGCCGCATCGACAACCTTGTGCATACGTAATTCTGGACAGTTAGCAGATACAAACTAGTTTCATGGCTCAGTTTGGTTTGGTGATAAGAGCGAAGATACTTCACCAACTGGACGATAACGTGAAAGAAGTCTGTAGCACAATGACAGGGTAAGACAGAGACCAAATACTCAACAGTGACAAACCGCAGCGGGAGCAGGAGGTGCTGAGCCACCCGCGTGGTGAACGGGGCAGAGTCGGCACCGCGGACGTGGCACCAGCCGCGGGAGGGACTAACTTCAGGGAGGGTCTAAGCCAAGAGGCATCCACCACGGAAGGACTGAAAACAGAGTGACCTGAAGGCAGAGAACTGGACACGGACATGCCTCTACCACCCACGGCCGAAGAGTGGGCAGTGGCGACTTTCAGGAGCCCAGACGTGGGTCATGGCGGGCTGTCCCCTCCAGGGTCACTGTCTGGGTGGGGATGTGTCCACCGTCTTCCATTAGCCACACTGGGACCAAAGCCAGGTAGCTGGGAGCCAGGGAAGGCAGCGCCGGGCCCAGACCCACACACACGTGGCATTCCGTGCGTGGGCCTGAACCCTGGTCACGTATCGAAGCCGCCCAGAAATCCTGGCTCGGGTCTGAGTACATGTGAGGTTTAAATGACTGCAGGCGATTCCGGTGGTGGCTCTGGCTAACGAGACGCCCCGGGACCGTCGCCCTGACACGTGTCAGCCTGAATGTTCTTTCAGAGGGAGATGCTGGGAGACCACGCGTGAGGCAAACTACAAATGTCCTGACACCTGTTTCCCAGTTACGATAAACAGACCCTTGTAATTAAACTGCAACACGGTCTGCACCGGTTACAGAATGAGCCTTTGGTTAAAAGGTACTTGGTGTTCAGACATTACCAGAAAAATATCACTAAGTCCAATAGGTCAAAAGCCAGACGATCTCTCCTTTCCAAGTTCATACTCTATAATTTGTTTAAGAAAAAAAAAAAACAAAACAGAAAACGAACCAGTGCAAAGCAGCACAACAAGGAAACCGTTTTGCCCGGAACAGTTTCTCCCAGTATCCATGTCTCTGTGGGAGGCCAAAGCTGAGAGCACTCAGCGCGCCAGCACCGGGAAGCCACGCACAGTATCACGCCGTGGAGTCACCGTGTCACCCAGGCCGCGTGTCCCCTGGCCAAGCAGGCATGACTCCACACTCCTACCTCCCGCCCGCCACGGGTCTCCCTAGGACCTCTGCCACACGCGACGTAAAGATAAAACCCAACACTCTTGGGGGAAAATGAGATTTAAAACCAACAATAATTTTTCAAAACAACCTGGAAAACATCAGGATGAGCTGTTTCCGTCAAGGAGGGCATTCCGGAAGCCTCTATGTCACAGCACCTAACTATAAGCTGCCAGTTGACAAGGTTGCACAACAGCTCCATCCTGGAAGATGGGGCAGCTGGTGGTCCTCCTCCCATTAAGAGTTAGGTTTTTGCCTCTGGTTTTCCACCGATCAAATCTCCAAATCCCAGTTTTTCCAGGGGTTCCTGTGCCATCAGCTGCCTGCGGAAAGGGAAGAAAACGAAGAGCGCCGTCTGCACGGGGCCTGTGCTTTCACTCCCATCCCGCCCAACCAGTGTCCCAGGGGCTGCCTGTGGCCGGGGACACTGCTGCTCTGGGCCCCAAAGGGCCTCTCTGCGCCCTCCTCCTCCTGCCTGTGACACCTGCACCCCTGGACCCAAGAGAGACACCCGCCCCCACAACGCAGGGCACAGCCAGAACCCGAAGGAAGCAGGCAGACCACAGTGAGGCGCCCCGAGGGCCCAGTCTGGAGCAGAGCCCTGGCCTCCAGGTCCCCGTGAAGACGCCCCGGACAAAGTGTGGACAGAACAGGACTTTGTTTGCTACAACTGACCCTGAACAACACAGGGGTTAGGGGCACCGAACACCTGCGTAGTCGAGGATCCGTCTATAATTCCCGACTCCCCCAAAGCTTAAGGACTAACAGCCTACTGCTGACCGGAAACCTCAGCTATGACATAAGTATATCCTGATAAAACGTAAGCCAGAGGAAAAAAAAGTGTTATTAAGAAAATCGTAAGGAAGAAACGTATTTCCAGGACTGTACTGCATTTATTGAAAAAGTCTGCCTGTAAGCAGACCTGTACTGTTCAGTCACTGCATCTGTTAGCTTTACTCGTAACTCAGACACGCCCAGATGCGTGGCGCGTGGGCTCCACGTCCTCTCAGTCCTGCCCCAGGCCCCAAGGGCAGTCCTGCCCCAGGCCCTCTCAGTCCTGCACGGTCCCAAGCTGGCCCGCAGCCATGTCCTGCTCCCACTGCCTTCCTATAACCAGCCGTGTGCCAGCCTCCTGCCGCGTCCATGTAAGTCAGGGCCACGAAGACAGGGATGCCCCGCACAGGGGACCTGCCAAGCTCAGGAGCCTCCCCCACTGGCCTCCCGCCACCCACGCTCCAGGGAGTCAGGAGGCCTGGGTTTCATTCTGTTTGGTTTTGGGGGGCGGGGGTGGGTCGACCCCAACTCTCAGAGGCATCTGTCCGTCCTGCTTGCCAGGGGGGGAGGGGGGAACAGCGTCCCCGCAGGAACCGCCAGGCTCAGCTGACACACGGCCCGCTATCACATCACACACTGTGTCCCGGCTCCCACCGCTGAGCCCGCCGACCAACCCCCGCAAGCCCGGCGGGCCAGTGCAGGCAGCCCGGAGTTCAGCCAGCATGTGGGGCACCGCAGGACGTCCAAGGCACCTGCTCCGATGACCCGCTTTCTGCAGGCTCGCGGGGGTCCAGTGGGAGCAGGCCACACTTCTGCAGAAACACAAAGCCTCACAGGGAGATGCTCTCTATCCAAACCTCACAATGGCTGTCGCTTATCCCTCAGGAAAATGTCCCCAGAACTGCAAAGTTCAGTCAGTACAATTTAATCTAGAAGCAGATTAAATTCTATAGCATGGAACGCATGCACCACTCCTTAAACTCAAATGAGGAAAACAACGATAAATTTTCAACACATCTTGGCAAAAGAGGCCACCTGGCTGACAGTTCTTAAAACTGACTTCTCTGACCACACTGGGATCAGCAGAGCAACGACCCCCAGATGACACCCTCCTTGCTGGAGCCTGTGTCACCCTCCACGGCAGAGGGGAATTCGGGCTACAGGTGAAACACAGCTTCTAAGTGGCTGATTCTGAGGTGACGTCACCCAGGACGACTCAACCTCATCACGTGAATCCTGAAAATCAGAGACAGATGGGAGGCACGGAAGGGTCGAAGAGATACACCATCGCCAGCTTTGAGAAGGCAAAGGGCCACAAACCAAGGAGCACGGGCGCCTCTAGAAGCTGGAGAAGGCAGGGAGCAATTCTGCCCTGGAGCCTCCAGAAGGAAAGCAGCCTGTCCACGCCCTGACTGAGCCCCGTGACACCCGTGTCGGACTTCCTGCCACAGAAGGGCAGGTGGGCTGGCAGCACACCAACACAGGGCGAGCGGTGCTCCTCCCGACATGCCACGGCAGGATGGACCTGCGTGTTTAGTGGCACAAAGAAGGAATAAGGAGAAAAAAACCAGAAGCCAAATAAGACATGGTTCAACATATCCTTTCTACAAATCTGTTAATCTTCATAAAATCAAGCTCCTTGGCAAGGTCCTAAAAACAACAAATACAACATTCAACAAGTTCTAAAGCCAAAAGAATTTCAATGCCTCCCTTCAGCATAAGGGAAGAGACCATCCCATTTCCAGTCCAGTATTTTAGGGACTGAGCCAGCATTGAGCGAATGATTTAGGGCAACCGGATTTCCGGGAGGCCTGGCCTTCACACCAACCCGTGCTCCGGGATGCAGCTGCATGGCCCGATGCCCGCCCCATGGCACGGGGACCCAAGTGAAATGATTACAGAGCCTTGATATCATGGATCATAGGTGTATTTGCTGTTTTCTCTGCCAACAAAGCGATCCCAAACAGCTTTTCCTGTGAGAAAAATGTGGCCCACCCCTACAGCACACATACTTCCCCATCTGGCTACAGCGGCCCACGGCCTCAAGAGGCAACTTTAAAAACCTGTTGTGGTCCAGTTTTTTACAAAGATGCATACAGAGGCACAAACCAGTAAGTCATGACTGGGATTTCAGCACAAAAGGGAAAGGGAAGAAAAGAGGTTTGTAAAAAGCAGGAGGAGCAAATACGCAAAATCTAGCTACTGAATCCAGGTGGTCGTGGATTTTCATTAAAAACCATCCAAAAGTCTATGGCCAAAATCACTGACCAAGTCAAAACACACACAGGCACCCTTTAAATTTATCTTAACTTCGCCTGACCAGCCAGCGAAGCCACTTAAAATAATAGAACCCACAGAGTGGCCAGCTGCATCCGTTGGCCCCCATCGACCTCAGCAGGCCTCGGGGAGGCCGGTCTCCAGAAGCTGTGCTGAGCAAGGCACGGCCACACGGAGAGCACGCAGCTCACTCCTAGGGTCAAATGGGGAGAAAGGACAGGGCCCTTCTGCTGGTCCTTCACCAGGCAAGCCAGGAGCCTCTCTGGGGACACAGGCAGCCCAACTCTGGAACAACTGTGGAACAACTCCCGGCAGGAGCAGCTACCTGTGTGTGCTGGGTACTCTGGCCTGCACAGGGTGATTAACCCAAGCTTCAGAGGGGCGGGTGAGCCTGAACAACTCCGGAGACAGAGTGAGGGCCTCACCTGACGGCCCCACTCCCAAAAGGGCCCATCCCCAAGGTCCCACATGTCTACAAATAGCCCTCAACACGCCTGTGGGCCTGAGAAACACAAGAGATTTTGCCCCGAGGGAAATAAGACGAGTTTGTTATGGGAAAATGGAAACGGGGCTCCAACTGGATTGGTTTATGTCAACCCATCTTCAGACAAAGCCATCTGAAGACTGGATTCTTTAATGAGCTAATGAAGGGCGCAAAATGCACAAATACAAGTTCCCACCCCCACTATATAATTATCTGCCTTTCCCCATTAAGGACTAGAACAGTTCTTAAGTAAAATCTCAACGGATCATAGTTAGGAACATTTGCTTTATTTAAAAGTGAGCTCTAGTAACTTCTGGTCAAGACAAAACAAATCCTTTGTCTTTCATCATTTCTGAAATGGCCTATTGTCTCTCCTGTCACATTTCAAGCACAGCTGAGTCGACATGGGACAAAACAACATTTTTATGGTCTGAGAACGTGAAAGAAAGAAACCGTGTACCCACAACCTTCAAATCTTTTGGCTCAGTCAGCATTTTCATGATGTACGGGTCTGAAACCTTAATGACAGGTCAGCAGCTCCCAAATATGGAAAGAAAATACTCTGAGGAATGCAGTCGTATATGAGGCTGTCACTCACGGAAAGGTCCCCGTGACTACTACACAACTTCTAGTGCCATTTAATCTGCCTCAATTCTAGGGGCAAAAGCAATTACACAGCTGTGAAAGGCAGAAGTCTCAGTGAGCCACGCTGCAACGAGCTCTTGGGGAAAGAACGCTTCTGGGGAGCGGAGGAAGGTTCGAGAAGTCAGAGATGTTAGCAGGTACTTGCCTCTCCATCCTGCATTCTAAATAGGCTTTTGATTCCTTTCTGCACAAAGCGTTTTCGAACTTATTGTCGCGGAGGCACTTCATGAATTTCTCTTTGAAGCTTTTACATTCACCTAGAACGAGAAGGAAAACAGCATTTCCTCTTAAAGCGAAAACAGGACACGCTCGCACAGCCGCCTGACGAGCAGCACGACTCCTTTCAAAACTCGCTTCCTCCACAAGCACGCGCTGGGAGGCGAGCACCTGGCCACCGGGGAGCTCACGTGGGACTGTCTGACCTTCGCTGCGGGGTGGGAACATTTCACAGGAAACCGTGGGTTAAGACAAGAGTCGGTAAGTCCACTCTCGGAGCCCTGGCTTCCACAGGGGCTCACCCCAAACCCAGACCCGGGCCACAAACCTGCGGGGCTCAGCAGCGCGTTCCAGGCGTGCGCGCGTCCCTGGCTACCAGCCTGCAGGCCCGGACGCGGCGGGTCCCCCACACGCCCCGCTCCCGCCAGCCGCTCCGCGCCGGGCCGTCCCGCCGGGCCTCGGTTTCCCCACCTGCACCGCGGAGCCGTGCGGCGCCACTGGACACTCAGGACCCGAGGCCCGGCGCGGGAGCCCAGCGGCTGCCCGCCGCTCACCGAAGTGATCCAGCGGGAAGCTGCCCTTCTCCGGGGGCCGCGGCTGGAAGCTCTTGGACCCAAAATTCATGGCGGTCGACATCTTGGCGAGCCCCGAACTGCCACGCGCGCCCTACGCAGGGCGGCGGGCCGAGCGCCGAGGGGGCCCAGCGAGAGCGCGGAGCACGTCGAGCGGCGGGCGGCCACGGGCGTCAGGCCCCGCCCCTGCCGCGCGGGCCCCGCCTCCGCACCACAGGTCCCGCCCCTACGCCGCCGGACCCCGCCCCCGCCTCGAAGGCCCCACCCCTTACTGACCGGGCCCCTCCCCGCCACCGGGACCAGTCCCCTGGCCGCAGAGGCTCCGCCCCCCCTGCCCGGGCCCCGCCCCAGCTGGGCTCTGGAAGGCCCTGAGCCGGGCTGCTCTGCCCAGTCCTTGCCAGTCTCCTCCAGTCTGACCCTCACAGCAACCCAGTGGCAGAGGCCAGCCGTCATCTCCTTATGATGAGGAAACGGAAGTCCAGAGAGGCTCAGCAGTTTGCCCAAAGACACACAGCTTCAGTCCACAGGAAGCCCAAGAGCAGGTGCACTGGCAGGGTCAGGCAGGCTGTGCGGCACCTCTGCATCCCCAGGTGTCTGCGGGGCTTACCTGCGGGGGAGGAAGGAGTGAGGGCCGACACAACATAGCGTCACACCCCGGGCAGCTCCAGCGACAGAAGTGTGATTGCTGTCGGCTCTGGAGGCCAGAGGTCTGAGACAGACGTGTGGCGGGGCTGCCTCCTCCCGGAGGCTCTGGGGAGACCCCACCGCAGGCCGCGCGCGAGCCGCGGGTGGTCGCCGGCAGTCTTGGGGCTCCTTGGCTCGTGCGCACACCCCGTCTCCGCCCTCACCCTCCCGTGAGGTCCTCCCCGTGTGTCTGTGTCCAGATGTCCTCTGCGTACAAGGACGCCAGCCACACTGGGTGGGCGCACCCTAACGACTTCATCCTAATTACATCTGCTATGACCCTATTTCCACAAAAGGTCCCCTGCTAAGGTTTGGGGTATGGGTAGGTGTCCAACCTATGAATTCGCAGGGGGCGGGGGATGCAGCTCAACCTGTAAGGAACTAAAACAGCGACGTGGACAGTTACGGCTCTGGTGGTCACTTATTGTTACTATCGTTCTTATAGCAGCGAGAACAACCGTGAAAGGGCTCGGTGGAGACCCCAGCTCTCCCACACAGAGCCTCCTCCCAGCCCTGTACCCCGGGGCAACCAGCCCTCGTCCCCAAACCGGGCCTCTGGATTTCATCGGGAGGGAGGAAGTGGATCACTGCCCTCCCAGTGCCCCTGCGCTCTGTGATTCTGCCAGGAGCTCCAACCTGCATCTGGGCATCCATCCCATCCGTGTGCCTACCATGTGCCAGGCCCTAGACATAAGCAGATTGGGGCCTCAGCAACAGGGCTCACCAGCTACCCCCTCCCCCCAGTCCCTGACGTGATCCAGCACCATGCCTCCTTTTAATGTCAGGACTAGGAGCAGTTCGGGCAACTCAGGGGCTTTGCAGAGAAGTGCCCTGCCAACAAGCCCTCACAGCCCCCACCTCAGGGCCTGCCCCCTCCTCAAGGCCTCTGGAAGGCATCCAGCTCCCCACTCACTGGCTCCCCAGCACGCCTGCCCCTCCTCAGTGTGCACCAGGGGATCTGTGTGCCTGGGGTTGCATTCAGCAGTGTGTCCAGGGCTGGCAGAGCCAGCCCTGAATGCCACTGGGGCCTGTTGGGGGTCCACAGGGAAAGCCCATCGCAGCCGTTGAGGCCTTGATCAGCCTGGTATTCTGGGCCCACTAAAAACTACAAAAGGAAAATTGCACCTTGATCTTGTCACATAATGACCGTTTCATGCGGCTAGAACCAGGGGCCACGCACTGGGTTATTCATTAATATGTTTCCAGGGCAGTGAACAAAAGACGCTTTTATTGCCCAGCAAATAGCACTTTTCCACTTGACTAGATCACACCACTCAGCAGTAAAGAGGACAGCCCTGCCCCCCAAGGTTGCCTGCAGCCTCTCCATCCAGCAGCCCTGAGGAACCAATGAAGCATTGGAGGCCCGGTGACCCCGAGGTGACAGCCAGCTTTTAATTGACACGTCTGTACCTGGCAGATGATTATTGCTTTATATGAGACGTTTGGCTGGGAGGGAGGGAAGGGATTTTCATCTGCGGCGCACAGATAAAGAAGTGGGGGAAGAAACTGATGCTTCTGGAATCCCTCTTCCGCGCTAGGCTGTTTGTCGTGGGGCCCCTGGAACAGTGCCGGACATACAGCGGACATTCAGTTAGTAGTATCTGAAGGATGAACCTGGTTAGGCAGATGTTCTTATCCCTCACCTCACATGTAGAGAAACACAGAGGTCAAGTCTCGTCCGAGGTGACGCAGCCAGTGTCCGAGCCACGCGGCACCGTGTAACAAACATCCCCAGCTCAGCGGCATAAAATAGAGATCATCTGCTTTGCCAAGAACTTGCAGTGTGGGCTGGCCTTGTTGGAGACGTCCTGCCTGGCATCAGCTGGGGACGCTCAAACTCAGACCGAGACACTCCCCCTTTAAGACGGCCCCTGGATCGACACTTGCCTGAAACTAGATATAGCAGATCTCTCCACTTTAATACAGTCTGCTGCAAAAGTATATTTTTCAAAAGGATGAAAACACAGTTCTCAGAGAAATATAAACTGCACATGCGTTAGTTTCATTTAACGCATGGATGAAGGGGTTTGTCTGGATGGCAAAGCTGGTTCTGAGAAGGGCGCCCTAGCCCTGATATATCCACATCTGGTCAGAGGAAAAGAAAGGATGCCGGAGTCGGATTGCTAAGCTGGACCTACAACAGGTTAATAGCTCACGGGGCAATAAACCATAACCTTCGGGATTATCCTTTCTGCCAGACAGAAGTGATTTGCATTTTACAGGAAAATCAATCACTTGTAGCTTTTCTGTTTCCTACCTGTGAATGTCTGGCTCGGGGGCACCTGGGCCTGGCCAATAATAAACGGTAAGTCAAATACAGCGACTCCCTGGGAGGGTCGAATGATGCTCAGGCAGACTGGCTGGACCGGGGCTTCGAGGATACAATGAAGGGTCACAGTGTCACCCATTTGCCTTATTCCTGAGTATGGGGAAACTTTCCTGAACATTGCTTATATGAGACTAAGGCTGCCCATAGCAAAGCTCCAAAAACTTAACCATCAGAAACGTATTCTCTCCCAGTTCTGGAGGCCACAAGGCTGAACCCGAGGTGTGCAGAGCCACACTCCTTCGGAGGGCACTCGGGGAGGGTCCTTCCCGCCTCGTCCAGCTCCTGGTGGCCTCATGTTCGTTGCTTGGGGCCACACCCTCCATCCTGGCTTTTCCAGAGTCACCTGAATTTCTCTATGTCTGTGTCCTATACTCTTCTGTCTCTTATAAGGACACCCGTCACTGGACTTAGGGCCACCCTAATCCCAATCTAAACTTGATTACGTCTGCAAATACTCTTATTTCCAAATAAGGGCCCATTCTAATGTTCTAGGGAGACATGAGTTGTTGGGGGGGGGAGGCCACTCCACCCAGTACACCACTCCCGCCCCTTTGGGTTATTTTCCCCCTTTAAAGAGTTCCAGCTGGCCCAGAAAAGTCGGGTTGCCGTAGGTGGTTGGAGCCCAGGAGGTGTGGGCAGTGCCCCGACGCTTAGAGTCTCGAGCTTGAAAGTTGATCATCATGCTGAGAAAATCGGCAAGCTGGCCTTGACTGGAGGGGTGGGCAGAGAGGAGAGGGGGCAGAGTGGAGCCCAGCAGCCCCCCACCCAGCATCGGCATGGGGGGTGGGGAGCCGGCAAGGCTAGGGCCCCTCCCGACGCCCGCCACAGGGGAGGTCTGTGGGGAGAGGCAGGCTGCGCGCGCGACAGTGGGTACGACACCCCACCTGGTGCGGAGCGCACATCAGTCAGAATCTAACGAGGGGCAGCCCCTTGGCTCAAGGCTTCTGGTTGTAGGAACTTAACTTTTACCGCGCATCCCTTGCAACTGGGCACATAGGTATTTCGAGCAGGATGTTTTTGACTGAGAGAGAGAACAGCAGAGAGGAGACGAGGCAACCGTCCGGGGTCTGATCCAGTCACACTGTCACCGCAAGAATAAAGAGCAACTGAACAGAGGGAGGGAGACAAGGGCAGAGGAGACTCTGGGGTGGAAGGGAGGTTCACGGTCTGGGACGTGGCGAGGGTTTCCCAGCCGTACACGTATGTAAACTCGTTGAACCGCACGCTTGAGCACGAGCAGCTCGCCGCACGTCGGTACAACGAACACAGCAAGAGCGCCGCACGCAGATGCCGGAGCGTCTCTGGGAGGACGCATGGACGAGGGGCCCAGCGGGGAGGGGGCGCACTTCACGGACGGCCCCTGGCAGGCTCTGGAGCCCCCGCGGGTGTGCGTCCGTTATCTAGTTAAATGGATAAACAGCCACCCAAACGCCTCCATCCCAGAAAGAGCCTGTGGGATGGTGTGGTGGGCCGACGGGTGGCGCCCGCGGAAGACGCGCCCAGCGGCCTCTGCATGTGAGGCAAGGGTCTCGAGGTGAGACCACTGTGGGCCACGGCGGGTGAGGCCCAAGCGGCAGGCCGGGTCCTCCCCGAGAGCGCGCGAGGAGCCAGCCTGCCCGCACCACCGTCCTGACCGCTGGAGTGTATTTCTGGACTTTTAGACGCCCAGCTGTGGTTCTTGGTTTTGCGGCAGCGCCAGGACTCACACGGTGGTGAGCGGTGGGGCCTCTGGGGACCTGAGTGGGACCCTTCCCCAGTGCTGGGGGGCAGGGGGTAGCCAGGGGGGCAGCAGGCCTTTCCAGAAGTTGCTGAGGAAGGGCCCTGTGGGAGGGACACTGGTTGCTGCTACGGTTTTAGGCTCAGGAGGGGAAGGCCCCGGATGAGCTGCCAGAGGAGAGGTGGCCTGGGAGGTCATGGGGACGGGGCGCTTCCCAAGGCCTGGCCAGCACCGTCAGCGTCAGCGAGGCCCGGGGCATCGGGGCCCCAGGACCAGAGATACGAGGAACAGGCCACACCCGCAGGGAGGAGGGACCCTAAGCCCGTCCCCAGGGGACAAGAGCCGTCTCTGAGGGCGGATGGGACTGGCGCTCCCCACCTCTGTCCTCCACAGACTCTTCTAGAACCTTGCCCCTCCCCCATGCAGGTCCCCTCCCTTTGGGCCTGGGACAGCCCCGGGACACCCCCCCCCCCAGGTGACCAAGCCGCGTGACTCCAAAGCTAGGTCACAGGTCATAGGTTACAGGTTGTGGCCTCTGACACTTGAACCTTCAGTCTTGAAGCTTGAAAACGCAAGTTCACCAACATCATTCCTCAGGTCAGAGTCCAACACGGCTCTTCCCGTGACCCCCCTCGGCCAGGGCTGCCCCTGGGAGCCGCCACGAGGCCCTCGCTCTGGCTCGCCTCCACCGCCTCCTTCCCTTCTGGGCCTATCCCACCCGGCCGCACCGACAGTCCAGGACAGTCTCCCTATTTTAGGGTCAGCTGATGAGCAAATTCAGTTTCACCTTCTACCTGAATCCCCTTTGCGTGGAACCTGGCGTTTTCACACGTTCCCGGGAGGAGGTGGTGGATGTTCCAGGAATCGGTTCCCAAGCCCTGGCCCGTGAGGCCGTGGGAGTCCCGCCCCCCCCCCCGTGGCCCCGTGGCCCCGTGGCGCCGTGGCCCCATGCTCTCACGTGATTGCTAGGAATCCGGGGGGCACAGGGGTGCGGGCCTGCGATCCCTGCACCCCTGCTACTCGTGCTGCTGTGGATATGACGTCTGGCTCAGGCAGAACAGTAGGGACAGGGCACAGGTGCAGGGGTGCAATGGCAGGGCCGGGGTCAGCGCGGGAGTCCGGGGGGCGCAGGGGCGCGGGGCGGGCATCGGCGCGGGGGGCGCGGGAGTCTGGGGGGATGGGGCTGTTTCACATCTTGAGCGTGGGCGTGGTCACATGACTGTACGACTTGGTGAAAACTTGCAGAACCGTACCCGTGAAGGCTGGATTTCAAGAGCGTAATTCTCCTGCCAGGCGGGTGCACTGAGGCCCCAGCCCGAGGCCAGTCCGCAGACAGACGGGGCAGCTCGGCTCTGCAGGACCACCAGCCCCGGAGGCCCCGCACTCCGCTGGGACCCTCCCGCCCCCGCCCTTCCGAGGCCTGGATGTGGAAGAAGCCTCCACACTCGTGGTGCTCAGAGAGATTCTCTGCCAAGACCCTGCTCGCCCCTCAGGGGCCTGATGTGACTCCAACAACCCCGAGCGGCAGCCCTGCTGGCCGGGCCCTGAGAAGTTCCAGGTGTGCAGCTGGCCTCACCTGGGCCTGGCGCTCGGGTCGGGGGTCACCCCGCGCCGTAGTCTCGCCGGCACACGCTGCTGGCCCCGTCCACACGAAATCCCAGGAAACACCAGTAGGGTCAGGATGCCCATAGGGCGGGATCGGGCATCTAACCTGATGGGTCTGGTTCCCAAGCCTGCCCCCCTCACTGCCACACCCCTTCCCCGCAGGGAGGGACAGCACAGAGCGCGTGGTGGGTGCTGTGGGGGCCCCACCCTGATCCCCCTCACCGCCAGCACACCCAGAGGCCAGGGGGGCTGCGAGCGCCTCAAACCCAGGCCCCACCTCCTCTCCTGAGAAATGGGGGTGACCCCCACTAGGCTGTCAGGAGGAGCACAAGGGTCTTGCAGGTAAAACGCCAGAAACTGGCTGAGGCAGGACTGGTTTTTGGAAAATCCCCTCCACCTGTGCAGCCACGCCCTGCAGGGGACCGTGGCTGATCTGCAGGTGCCCAGGCGGCGGCACCGAGGTGGGGGGCCTCATGCCCGGCGTGGCTCACAGGTGCCCAGGCCTCACCGACCTAAAGGAGGAGGATGGACCCCCCCCGAACCCCACCCCGAGTTCTCACCTCCAGCGCGTCGGGCCGCACTGCCCCTTCCCTCCTTCCCAAGGCTGTCCACCCAGCACCATTGCTTGGTCCTGCTACGGGATCCGCACAGCCCTCTGCTGGAATGCCTTTCCACCTGGGACTGGCACACTCAGCTACAACACCCGAGGTGTTTTCAGTGGCAAAGCCCCTGCCACGTGGGTCTCTTCCCCTGGGCTGGGGGTGGGGGGCCCTTTCTGGATCCCTGCCCACCAATTTCTGTAGCCCTAGCTACCGGCGGAACCTAGCACACAGGTGCTCGATAAATGCTCGCTGAACTAATTGAGGTGGACCGTCCTGGGCGGCGAGCACCCACAGCCCACGCGCCTAGTAGCAGCCTTGGTACCTGGCACTCAGCCTAAATGACCCGGAGACACCGCTGTTAGGGAGCCGTCCGCCCTCGCTGCGGCCCCACGGCTGTGCAATGGGACGGCCTGCCCGCACGACAGTGAGCACCCCGTCACAGGAGGTGTGCAAATGCAGGCTGGGAGGGGGTGCGGGCCGTCGGGCTGCTTTGGCTCTGGGGTTTGTGTAGGGGCACGGACGGCATCTCCCGGAGACAGGCCGTGCAGTGAGGGGCCCCACGTGGGGACGGGGTTCCCGCTGCCTCATGTCGGGGCAGGTGGCGCTGAGCAGGCCCGGCCACTTCTGATGCCAGCACCCTCCCGCCCCTCACAGCTCCTTTCCACAGGGCACCTCCTCCCCTCCCAGCTGGGGCACCGGGGTTGAGGAGAGCAGAGTGCAGCACGGACAGACGGGGGCTCGTAAACCCGGCCAGCCCATCCTGCCCCGCCCTGCACCGGCCAGGGCCTCCCACTCCAGGTGACCACACTTGAAAAGTCACCAGGGAGCAGGTTGTCACTCAGGGCAAGCGTGCGGTCTGAGACTCTGCAGGGGATACTCTGAGGGTCCCGGGATCTGAGGCGTTTGCTGTGCAGACCGTTGTGGGCCATCCCTAGGGTCTCCGCGGACCTCCTACCCCCTGGGCCCTGCTGACGGAGGCTCGGACCTCCCCTCAGAGCTAGGGGGCCCAGGTCCCAAGGCCCCACGAGCCCTGGTTCTGACGGGGAGACTGAGGCAGAAGGCAGAGGCCTGCGGGAGGGGCAGACGGGCCGCCGCAGTGTGTCCTGTCCAGCAGGCAAGGGACGAAGATGCCCCAAGCGCAAGGCCTGGTTGCTAGCCCCCCCCCGACAGCCCCTGGCCCCCTGGCTCCCTGCCACTGACGCGACCCCACATTCCCCGCACGCCTGTCACTTTAAGCTGCCTGGCTGTCCTCGGCAAACTGCTCAGTCCGCATTCTCCGGGTGGGGGGTGAGGCACCGGCACGCCCTTCCAGGGGCCTATAAGGCTCAGGGTGGGGAGCTGGGGCCTCGCCGCCCGCCGTCCTCATGGTGGCCCTGCTGCTTCTGGGGATCCTGCTGCTCCTGGGGCTCTGGGGGCTGCTCCAAGCCTGCACCCCCACCCCCTCCCCAGCCCCTCGCTGGCCCCCTGGGCCACGTCCACTGCCGCTCATCGGAAACCTGCACCTGCTGCGTGTGTCCCAGCAGGACCGGTCACTGATGGAGGTAGGTCAGGGCAGGCAGTCCTGGGCACCCCAGCCCCAACTCAGGGGACACAATAGGCCGAAGTGCCCACCCTGCCTTAAGGAAGAGAAAGACAGCCCACCCTACAGGGAAGCAGATGGGCCATTTAAGGAGCAGGGGCCAGGAGGGCTTCCTGGAGGAGGCAGCATTTGATGAGCGCCTACACAAGAGCCCGGACTGGGGGAGGCGGAGGGGAGGAGGCAGGTGCTCCGGGGAGTAGTACCACACAGCAGAGGTCCCGCGAGGGAAGGAACCCGGACTAGCCCACGAGTGTGCGTGGGGCGTAGGGAGCACCTGCTGGGTGTGGCTGCTCCCAGCCCAGGCTGGAGGCTACAGGGTCCTGGCCCCATGTTGAGGGCAGGCTGCCCTGCCCTGCAGCCAGGAATGGCCGGCCCAGCGGACAAAACAGAGGCACAGGCCTGGCCCCCCCACCCCCCAAGGGCTGCCCGGCCAACGTTGCTCCAACCACGGCTCCCACCACCAGTGCACCCTCCTTCCCCAGAAGCGCTGCCGCTTCCTGGTGGCCCCCCGGCCCTGCGTGTGGGTGGGGAGGAAGGGGCTGCAGGAAGCACCCTGGGCACCAGGGTTCTCAGGCCATGCCCGGTGTCGCGCCCGGGGGCCGCCGTCCAGTGTGCGGGTGTGGACAGGTCTGGCTGCGTCCCTCGGTGCAGGTGATGGACAGCAGTTCACTTCTTGCCTCCGGGCCTCCGGGTGCCCACGTGTGAAGGCCCAGAAGGGACGGGCACAGGCCGAGGCGTCAGAGGCCAGCCCTCGCCACGCAGTCTGGGTCTGGGCCTCCAGCTGGGCGGGGGGTTCGCGTGAGGTCTGGGCACCCCCTGCTCCTATGCATCTGGGCTTCAATGCTGGGGCGGTGTCTGAGCGGGGACAGGCTCCCCATGCAGACCCCTGGGCTTCTAACACAGGCCACCCCCGCAGACAGCCCCTCTCTGCTGCTTCCCCGCAAAAGAAAACCACGAGGACGACACCCAGCACCAGTGGTAGCCCCTGCCTTCCTGGAATGGATGGGGAGGGGGCTCAGCGGGATCCAGCAGGACCCGGCTCCTGCCAAACACACCTCCTGCTTTTCAGCTCCTGGGCCTTTGCTCGCACACGCCCACGGCTGGCCCGGTTTCTACGGAGCCTGCCTGGGCCACTCCTGGCTCTGGATGTGCCCCGCACCCACCCTGTGTGGGTGCAGCCCGGGGCGGGTGCTCACGGGGTTCCTGGGGGTGGGGCCGCAGGCTGATTCCTGCCTGTGCCCACCAGCTCTCAGAACGGTACGGGCCGGTGTTCACTGTTCACCTGGGGCGTCAGAAGACGGTGGTGCTGGCTGGCTACGAGGCTGTGAGGGAGGCCCTGGTGGGCACCGGGCCGGAGCTGGCTGACCGGCCCCCCATCGCCATCTTCCAGCTCATCCAGGGAGGTGGGGGTAGGTGTGCGGCACAGGGTGGGGAGGGGGCAGCTGAGCGTAGGAGTCCCCGGACCCCAGGAAGGGGGTCTGCCTCTCTGAGCAGCATGAGAGTGTGCCCAGCATGGCTCCCAGGGGAGGGACACAGTGTCCACATGGCCGGGGACCATGACGCCAAGACTGGGTGCGGCTCACCAAGGCCAGCCCCAGGGGTGGGGTGAGGCCCCAGCCAGGCCCCCCGACCTCGCTCCCTGCCTGCATCACCTGGGGTTGCTCACTGGCGGCTCATCTGACCTGCAGGCATCTTCTTCTCGTCGGGGGCACGCTGGAGGGCCGCCCGCCAGTTCACCGTGCGCACCCTCCACGGCCTGGGCGTGGGGAGGGGGCCCGTGGCTGACAAGGTCCTGCAGGAGCTGAGGTGCCTCATGGGGCAGCTGGACTGCTACGGAGGTGAGTGGGGGCCGGGGCCCCCCCTGTGGGGGCCCCCTCACCCCCTGAGGCTGGTCTCCCTCCCACTCCAGGCCAGCCTTTCCCCCTGGCCCTGCTGGGCTGGGCCCCCTCCAACATCACGTTCACGCTGCTCTTTGGCCGGCGGTTCGAATACCAGGATCCCGTGTTCGTGTCCCTGCTGAGCCTTATCGATGAGGTCATGGTCCTCTTGGGGACCCCCAGCCTGCAGGTGAGAGGTGGCTGCTCCTGGCCTCGGGGTGGGGGGTGGTCTCAGCACTGCCCCTGCCCGAGAGAGGTGAGCTGCCACCTTGCAAAAGCCCCATTGGATTCAGAGCCAGGAGGCCCAGGGCATGTCCTGTTTCTGACACCAACTGGCCATGTGACCCCAGGCCAGTTTCCCCATGCCCTCTGGGCAATGAGAGGGCTGTAGGGCAGGGTGCCCATCTGCCTTCCCCCACGCCTGCCCATCAGTAGCAGATGCACCTGCTTAGAGGTGGGGATGGGAACGGAGCATCTCTTCCCTGGATATGGGGCTCAGTGTCCCCCTGCCCCCCCCCCAGCCCTTAAACCCAGGGACCCTCCACCCGGCATGGGTCCTTCACAGTGTCACACGAATGCTGCAAACTGGCCCTGCTGATTCTCAGAACTCGCAGGGGCAGGTGCATTTCACTCTTTACAAAGTGTGAAATGTTCGCCATCGTGACCATTTCTGTGATAGGCCGCTAAGTGCACCCATCTGGTCGTGGTGCGTGTATTTACAGACCTGCGGTCACGGGCGTGAGGCAGGGGCTGGCTACAGAGTCTCCCGCTCTCATGCTTCGGTCCTCGGAGCCTCCTCGGCTCCTAGGGGGGAATGTGGCCTCCTTGCCGAAGCAGGCCGTCCCAGGAGGATGGAGGCCAGAGGGGTCGGAGCAGAATGTTTCGGGCCTCCGTCCCAGGGCCAGCCCCTCACCGCAGAGTCGCCTTGTGTAATTCGATCCAGGGATCACTAATGCTCTGGGGGATACCCAGCGGTCATAGTGCACCAGGAGAGCTGTGGACATCTTTGTGCCGGGCACATGCTGGCCCCTCAGACAACCTGGTCACAGTGGGTCAGCTGAAGCTCTGAAGTTTGCAAATGCTTTGTTTTCAGGACTTTAATGAGAGGCAGCACCCCACCCCCCACCCCCGACCCGTCCTGCTGGCTCTGGTGGACGGAGAGCAAGCATGATCACAGCCGCCTGCAGGGGTGAAACCACCACCTGTCCGGCAGCCGCCCCTTCCTGACCTGGGACAGAGGATTTTGTGGGAGCCCCCTGGCTGCTGGTCCCACCAGGAGGGCCAGGGGCCCCGGGCATGGAGCCTGGTGCCCTCTTGTGGCCACGGGCAGCACCCACACAGCATGTCTGCCTGGAGTCTGGGGTAGCACCTGGGGGCCTGGACAGGTGGACACGGCTGCTGGAGGGTGAGGGGCCCTGCTGTGGGCCCTGCACCCTAACCCCGCCCACTGTCTCGCCCTCCGCCTTCAGCTGTTCAACATCTACCCCTGGCTCGGGGCCCTCCTCCAGCTGCACCGGCCTGTCCTACGGAAGATAGAGGAGGTCCGAGCCATCCTGAGGACCCAGCTGGAGGCGCGGCGGCCCCCCACGCCCGGGGGAGGCCCCGTGAAGAGCTACATGGACGCCCTGATCCAGCAGGGCCAGGTGTGGGCGAGACCCACCCTACCACCTAAGAGGCCTGGGGGCATCTGGGGGCCGCACCCCAGGAGGAGTGGGGTTGGGGAGGGGTCCATGCTGGCCCTGCACCACCTCCTCCACCTCCTAGCTGAGGATCCCTCTGAGCCTCGGTCTCCCCATCTGTGAAATGGGGCATTTGCAGTGCCTGCCTCAAGGGGTGGCTGCAAGGATGTGGTGAGCCCAGAATGTAGTAGGTGCTCAGCAGACTTGGCTCTGCCTTCCTGCCCAGGCTCTTGTCTTCTATCCCTTTCTTGAGCCCAGAGCTGGGTTGGGGTTGGGGGTGGGGGTGGGGGTGGGCCGGGTGGTCCATGGAGCCCTGCCTCTAGCCGAGTCCCATCCAACCCACCTCTGCAGGGGAATGACCCCCAAGGCCTGTTTGCTGAGGCCAACATGGTGGCCTGTGCCCTGGACATGGTCATGGCTGGTACAGAGACCACGTCGGCCACGCTGCAGTGGGCTGCCCTCCTGATGGGCAAGCACCCGAGTGTGCAAGGTGAGCTCCCAGCCTGTCTTCCCAGCACACGGCCACCTGCTGGCTGGGTGGGGGTCCGCCAGGGCCTAGGGGATCCAGGCTCCCAGGGATGCTGGCGCCTACGCTCTCACCCACAGGCCGGCTGCAGGAGGAGCTGGACCGCGTGCTGGGGCCCCGACGGTACCCCCGGCTGGAGGACCAGCGGTCCCTGCCCTACACCAACGCCGTGCTGCACGAGGTCCAGCGGTTCATTACCCTCCTGCCCCACGTGCCGCGGTGCATGGCGGCTGACACCCAGCTGGGCGGCTACCTGCTCCCCAAGGTGGGCACCCCTCACGGACCCTGACAGGGTGGGCAGGGCCCTCCCTCCCCCTTCCCTCCCCCTTCCCTCCCCCCTTCTTTCTGCTCTGGGTCAGGGTGGGTCTGGCTGGCCTCCTGGGGGGACCTTCTCTCTCAGTGCACACCCTGGGGGAAGGGGGTGCCAGGCCTAGTCCACTTGCTGCCCCACCCACAGGGCACACCTGTGATCCCCCTGCTGAGCTCTGTGCTCCTGGACAAGACACAGTGGGAGACGCCCCGCCAGTTCAACCCGGGCCACTTCCTGGACGCTGAGGGGCGCTTTGTGAAGCGGGCAGCCTTCCTGCCCTTCTCTGCAGGTACCCCCAGCCCTCACGGGTGGGGACAGCACAGGGCCCCTCACCCCCAAGTGGCCTGGTTACCAGGGACCTTGGAAGCTCAGGCTCAAGCCTGCTGGGCCCCCCACTGTCCACAGCCTCTGGCAACCGGCCTCTGCCCCTCAGAGCTGGCCCGCAGCCCGGTCACTGCAGACCTTGCTCTCAGGCCGCTCCCACTCCAGGCCCTCCCTCGTCCCTCCAGAGACTCCCCTCTCCCTCCACTCCAGGAAACTGGCCGGGCTCCCTGGCATAGCCCGGCAAAGAGCAGGTCTGGAGCACCCCACCCCGTGCCCCGGTGTGCTCTGCAGGCCGCCGCGTCTGTGTGGGAGAGAGCCTGGCCAGGTCGGAGCTGTTCCTGCTTTTCGCTGGCCTCCTCCACAGATACCGCCTGCTGCCCCCGCCCGGCCTCAGCCCCGCCGCCCTGGACACCACGCCCGCCCCAGCCTTCACCATGCGGCCGCCAGCCCAGGCGCTCTGTGCAGTGCCCAGGCCCACGGGCTCTGACCAAGGAGACCCGGGGAGGGTCTGAGTCACTCCCCCAGGTCCCAGCTTGGGGTGCTCTGTGGGGGATGGAGGCAGGACAAATGGATGGACAGACAGAAAGCCCCTCATGGGGGCCCTTGCTGGGCTCTTTGCTGTGGTTCCCCAAAGCCCCTCCTGGGCCAGATCCTGTTCTTTCGGGGGCTCAGCCCCCTTCCAGTTCCCCTTGCCCAGAGGTGTCTCTACCCCTTCTCCTCCAGTCTCCCCAGGGCAGCTGGGGCCCCCTCCCCGCCCTGAGCTCCCTGCTCCCTGCCCTCTGTCCCCGGACCCCTTGGGCATCAGTGCTGCCTTAGTCTGCACCCAAGCCCCCCACCCATACCTCAGGGTGCCCCTCACGCCCTAGTGGTGATGCACCCCCTCTCCACTCCCCCTGCATGCTGCCCCCATCCGGTTCCCCCACAGGCCCAGCATTGGCCAGGTACCCACCAGGCACGGAGGTGCCACCTGAAGCTGGGGGTGCAGGGTGACGTCCACCCAGGGGCCAGCCTGAGACCTGTGTTCCCAGCACGCTCAGTCGGCACCGTGCCAGGCCCTGGACCACTGGGTCTCCTGCAGACCCCACCCTGTTCCAGCAGCTCGTGGGCAGCCATGTCCCGGAGGCGCTCTGCCCGTGAAGCCAGGACCAGGCGAGGGGTAGCTGCCACCAGAGGATCGGGGACCCTGCAGGGGTGACCACAGAGCCTGAGCAGGAAGGATGAGCGGGAGTTTGTAGGGAGGACGCTGGGGCCCCCTTGCGCTTGACCCCATCAACCTCTGGCTCAAGCCTGCTGGGCCCCCCACTGTGGGAGCCCACCGTGGCTGGCTGCTTGTCCCACCAGGAGGGCCAGGGGCCCCGGGCATGGAGCCTGGTGCCCTCTTGTGGCCACGGGCAGCACCCACACAGCATGTCTGCCTGGAGTCTGGGGCAGCACCTGGGGACCTGGACAGGTGGACACGGCTGCTGGAGGGTGAGGGGCCCTGCTGTGGGCCCTGCACCCTAACCCCTGGGTCACAGGACCCAGAAGCAAGTGGGGACACAGACCCCAAGGCCCAGCTTCTGATCTCCCCCACGCCCAAGATGTACCAAGGCCTCTAGGAGAGGGCCTCTGGGCAGGGGGCTGTTGCTGACAGGGCCCAGAGACACCAGGTCAGGGGTGCACCGCGAGAGGCCCTCCAGCATGGGCCTCCACGGGCCACCCCCACACTGACTCACTTCCCGTTATCTGGTGTCCTGTCTTGTATCTGGCGACCCATCGGTGGCCTGGGAGCCTGGCGGGGTCGGGTTGGCCCTGTCCTGGCCGCATGGTGGCTCTGGGCCATCCCGGCCGCCCTCCCCCGGCCCAGGCTCCGGTGGGGTCGCAGGGGGCTAGCAGAAGCGAGGCAGCCTCTCGACCAGTTGCCATGCCCCAGAGCCTTCTCTCTGGTCCCTTCTGACCCCCCAATTTCTCGTCTGCCCCTCGACCCTTCCCAACACTGAAGCCTTGGCTTTTTAAATTCCAAAGCGTGTGTGTGGGGGCGGACGAATGCCCTCTGAGGCAGGGCTGGTGGACAGGTGCAGGGCCGGGCCGAGGACGGCATGACGGGACATCACGGTGCACCAGGGATCGGACAATTCCCGGGGCAGCTGCAGAAGGGGGTCCCTGAGGCCCGCGTGCACGCAGAGTGCTCCCCATGGGAGAAAGGGTAAGGATCGGGGCGTGAACAGTGTCCGGGGGTGGACAGCAGGGGCGAGTCTCTCCGTGACCCTGCGCAGGGCGGTGGCCACGGGCCACCGTGGATGTGCTGCTGCCCGTGCTGGGCCCCTGCAGGGGGAAGGGGGGTTATTCTGGGGAGGGGCCCGTATACTTCGCTTCTGGGGAAAGCTGGGCGGTGGGTGAGGGGCATGTTGTCGTTGCCTTCCGTCTGTCTGTCTGCCACATCTGACACTGAGGGAGGGGCTGGGAGCCCCCCTGCAGGGCCGGGCTGCTTTACTGTCCGCGGTCACAGAGTGCTAACAGCATGGATCTCACCTAAGTTCATCTCCGTGAACAAACGAGAGCGTCCTTCAGAGCGTCACAGAACATTCCGGAATGCCTGTGGAAACCCTTTCAAGAAGCTGTGGGTGGGAGAGACTGGGCTGCTCGGGGCGGGCTTGCCGGGAGGACATGGAAAACCAGAAAAGGGGGAACGCGAGCATTGTTGTGATAAACCCAGAGCTGCCGGGACCCCGTTTCCAGAAACCGCTCCCCGCGTAGGAGAGGGGTCCGCGGCACCTCCCAGGTCGGTCGGCTTCAGGCGGGGGCAGGATGCAGAACCTGAGCCGCACGTTTCCTAACTTACAAGAACAGGCATCAAAATGAACCACTTTCCCGGGTGACTTATGTTTTCTCCACAGAAGCCAATGGGGTTAGTTGATGTTTTAATCTGCCAAGAACAAATCTGAGCAGTCTTTCCCCCAGGTGGGAAGGTGTAGGTCCTGCCGGAAAGCACTCCACAAACACGCTGCTCTGGGCCCCTCCCTGGGGCGGGGGGCTCCGACGGAGGACGCACGGCAGCTCGGGCTGGGGGTCCGGCGGGAGATCCCCATGGTGACCTCAGTGCCCTCCTGGTCCAGGACGGGAGCCTCCTGGGGCCCCGCGGCGTGGCTCCCTCAGGCCCCGTCCAGATACAGATCTGAGGTGGGCTGGGTGCAGGGCTGGTATGTGCGGGACCCTCGCCCAGCCTGGTCCAGGCCTCGGGAGGCAAGCAGGGCCTCTGCAGGGCACCCCCCCGCAACCGTGAACCCGCCAGGTGACATGACCTGGGGCAGGGCCCAGGAGAGCCAAGGCCGCCGTGTGGGGACCGTCTGGGGAGTATCGTTCCCTTCTCCCCGCCCTCCTCATGGAGTTGACACAAAATAAGCATATTAGGCGCTGAAAGAGCACAATGCGCCGAGTCTGATGTCTGACCCACGAGACCATCAGCACAACTATGGAACACACCCATCTCCGTGGCCGCCCTGGCTGCCCCCCACCCTAGGCCCGGCTCAGTGATCACATGGACACCCCGGCCTGGGGCCGCAAAGGGGGCTCGCCCACCCACCGGCTCCTGTCCTGACCAGGTGCGCAGAGACCCCCCGCGATGCGGGCGGGGAGTGACGGCTCCACCATGTGGTGGACAGCTCGCCAGTCACCTCGGCCGCGTACCCTAGCTGTTTTGCTTTGTATTTTCCCTGTGGCAAAACATACATAAAATTGACCATCTTAACCCATTTCAGTGTATAATTCAGGGGCACCGAACGCATCCAGCTGCCATGCAGCCGCCCCCCCCCCCGTCCGGCTCTAGAATGGTCCATCCCGCACACGGAGACCCTGTCCCCATGATGCACGGACCCCCACCCGCTCCCCCCGGCCCCGTCTACCCTCTGTGACCGCGAGTCGGGACCTCATGGGAGTGGGGTCCCTGTGCGTGTCCTTCGTGTCTGGCTCGTGTCCTCGGGGCTCATCCCCATGGGGGCAGGGGTCGTTCTTTCCTTTAGAAGGCCGGCTCATACGCCATGGTGTGGACGGACCACACCGTGTTCGTCCATCATCCGTGATGGACACTTCCAAGTCTGGGGTCCTGTTTCTTGCCAGCTGCACCTCCAGTAAGCTCAGCCTCCAGGCTGCACGGCCTTGGGGAGAGGCCTCTGCGGACATCCATCAGGGGTGCCTAGACCCTGTGGGTCAGGAGGGGGCAGACAGCCTCTCTGAATGTTGGTTCCCATGGCCGCAGCACCCCTGCCTCTTGCTTGTGAGGGAAGGAGCCTCTGGGAGCTGGCGGGCGGCTCTTGGCCCGAGATGCGACTGTGGTCCAGGGCGGCAGGGACACCCACCCTGAGGCAGACGCATGAGGGGCTGAGAGTGCATCCTGGGGGCAGGGGTCCTGGTTCTGTGGCCACCTAACATCCAGAAGCCCCTCTGGCCCTAAGTCTCCTGCCTGCCGCCAGGGACATTCCTGCTGGATTAGCGCTGGTTTATCTGAACACAGACACAGCTCTCCTGGGGGCCCCAGGGAGGGAAAGCTTGGCAAGGGGGGCCACTCGGTAGCTAGTCCCCATTTCTTACCATAGGAGGTCAGGAAAGCCTGAGCCATGTTTCCCCAGACGTACGGGAAGCCCGCTGAGGAAGGCTGCTTCCTCGGAGGGTGGGGCGGGGGCCGTGGCGGCTGTTGGTGGCGCTGATGGGCCTGCTGGGTCTGACACTCCCACCCCGAAGGCCCGCGCCCCATCGCGCATTCTGACGTCTCAACAGTGCTTGAGACTATCTACGTGGTGGACGTTAAGGCGCCAACAAACCCGTTTCACCGTGTTCTTTCCAGAGCCCAGTGCTTTGCCGGGAGCTCTGTCCCGCGAGGCTTGTCTTTGCTCCCGCTGGGGTGTCATGAACAAGGAGCCTGAGCGCGTGTCCCACCTGCACACGCCGTGTAGCCACAGGCCACGTTGGCACCCGAGCGCCCACCGGCCCCTGCCCCGGGGGTTCTGTCACCGCAGATGAGCTAGCTGGCTGTCTCAGGGATGTTGTTGGAGCGGTGTCGACGGTGTGCCCTTGTGGTCCGTCCTCCCCCGCCCAGTGTATCCACGCTTCTTCCCTTTTACTGGTGAGTGCTGTTCACTTCGGTTTCCTGTTTGGCTGCTGCTGGACATCTGGGTTGTTTCCAGTGTGGGGGGGCGTTGGCGGGAAATCACCAGCCACTGTCAAGACGTTTCCTGGCCCAGTGGCCCTACGCAGACAGCCCCTGGGCACCCCTCACTGTGGCCTGGCCCAGGGCTCAGGCGCTCCCGCCTCACTGCCCCTGGGGCCTCATCAGAGGGCCATCTCCAACCGGCACCCCCAGCAACTGAGGCCGGTCGGTCGCACACCAAGTTACGTCTCTTGACAGCTTTGTCCAGGTGACATGTCTGTGTCATGTTCCTCTCTCTGCACCTTCTGCCAGGGGGACCTCGAGGGAATAGCACTTTAGGCTCTGACAGGAGCTCTTAGGGAGGAAAGAGCCCTCCATCTGGTATTGGGGAGTGCCCTGCTCTTTCCACTGTATCCAGTAACAATGAGGACTCGGGACTCATCACATTTCCCTTTTCAACTTGGCTGCCAGGAAACCCAGAGCTATGGTTCTTAATCAGTCAACCTGATTCCTTAAAAAAAAAAAAAAAATCTGCCCTTTGTTTGTAGCTAGGGGTTTTTCTTTGTATGTCTAGTTTTCAGTGTCATTTCCAGGACACCTCTGAGCTTGGGCACAGTGAGGCTGGCACCGACTGTCCATGTCCCCAGATTATTTGTGGAGCTGTGATGCCCACTCACAGACCTGCACTGACGTGTACTTCCAACATGCTTCCCTGCTCAAGTTCTCACCTGACGGATACCGGGGGGGCAGGACTTCTCATCTGTCTCCAAAGCCACCTGGGCCAAAGAGGGGTTGGGCCAGTTGCTCCCACCCACCCAGAACTGGACACGTGATCGTGCGTGTGACCCGGGTTCCAGCTGCACAGTGGGTGGGGGACAGGGCCAAATGCCCCCCAGGGAGTGGTGGGGCACGTCCCCTTTCCATGGGGGTGCCGCTGAGGTGCAGGTGTTGGGTGGGAGGTGGGGCAGAATGACCCTAGAGCCCAGGGGTCTGGGTTATGGGTGAGAAGAGGGGGGCCCCACGGACCAGCCCAGGCCCCTTTGGATGAGTGGGCCATTCCTGGGCCCGGGTGGTCCACAGTGACTGAAGCTGGAGTCAGTGCAGAGCCTGAGGTGGGGACACCGCTAGGAGGGGACACCTCCGGGGAGCACAGCCAGCCCCAGGCTTCTCCTGGAATAAGGGGTCTACACACAGGCCTGGAGCCTGTGACTCTATTAGCACTGTGACGCACAACGTAAGCGAGTCACGTTACACAGCTTCGTGGTGTTCTGGTTGTCTACTGCACGCGGCCCAGCAACAGGGTTTACAAACCTGCAACGTGGGCAAGAGTCGGTGGGGGCAGCTCACTCCTCCTTCATTCAGTGTCACCTGGGGTGGCCGCCATCTGAAGACTCGCCATCACCTGAGCACCCCTTGTGGCCCCCCCCCCATGTGGCCTCCCCACGTGACAGGGGCTTCCCACATCATGGCGGCCAAGTCCCAAGGGCAAGCGTCCCAAGGGCACCAGCTACGTCCTGCCCCTGCCCTCGCCCCAGGGGTCCCACGGCGTCTCGTCTGCTTCATCCCATGCTGGAAGCTGACCCACGCCCCAGCGGCGGAGCGTCAAAGCCACGCTGGACAAGTTTTAAGACCACCGCACATATCCGCCACCCCGTGTCATTCTCCACAGGTCCCAGGAAGCGCAGGTCCTCCTTAAGGGCCTGTCCACTCTTCCCACAGGTGGGGGAGACACGGGCCGCCGCGCGCAGAATGACTTCCAGGGGCTTTGACATGCACGCTCTTCTGGGAACAGGGAGGGCAGCTCCGGCGTTTGCGCAGGCAGCGGGCCTACTTCCCGGCTGGGACGGCTGTGGGAGGGCAGCCAATGTGGTCACTGCCGACACCTGCCGGCGGCAGGCCCACAGCGCAAGTGCTCAGCGCCAACAGGCAGGAGCGCCACACAGGGCTTGCCGGGATGCTGTCCCGGGGGCCTCGGCTCCGGCCCAACGCACGCTCACTCTCAGGACAAGCTCCTTAGAGTCAGGACAGGCAAACGAGAATGGGATGCACGGAGCAAGGGCCACGGCCGACACAGGCCGGTTTTATTGAAAATGCAGCCAGGTTTTCCCGGGGACTGGCCAGCTAGGCCCCAGGAGGGAGGTGAGGGATGGGCGAGCCACGGCCTGGACCCACCAGGGAACGCAGGCAGGTGACCCAGATGCAGGTGGTCGGCACCAGAGGGGCCCCCCTCACCCCCCACCGGAGACGGACCACAGCTGGAGGGAAGGGCTGGTTCTGGTCAATCTCTACAACAGTCCCTGTAGAAAAATAGACCTTTCTCTCAATAAGCAAGCTCCCCGGGGGCTTGAGGGCCACTGGGAGGCCAGGAGGCTATGTCACAGTGGCCACTTTCTGCTGTAAAGGGATGAAGACACGTCACGATCTGTGAACAGTCTGGCCACAGTCAGTTCTTCCAAGGGTCAGGCGCCACAGGCCCACTGGCCGCTGACCTGCTGGTAGCCCCGCCTGCCCCTCGTTGGGGCCCCGCCGCTGGGTCTTGGGCGGCAGCAGCGGCCTGCTGGGCCCCTAGGAGAGAAGCTGCAGCACCCGCCGGATGCGCTGGGTCTTCCCCAGTGGGAGGGGCTCCGCGCCACTGGCCTTGTCCACCTCCTGCATCAGGGCTTCCGCCTTCTGCACCGTCAGCTCCCGGGCGCGGCCCCTGAGCCCCTCCAGGTAGGCCAGCAGGGTGGAGAAGAGCGCGTCGGGAACCTGGCCGGGGGAAGAAGACGAGGGCGTCAGGGGCCCCGTGGGGTGGCATGGAGAAATGGGGCATTCACCGCGCGGGCCCCAGGCTCCAGGCAGGGCTCCCAGCCCAGCAGCTGGCATCTCAGGCGGCACCCCTGCTCCTGCTCTGTCCTCCTGCCGCAGGACCACGGGCTGGCCTCCTGCAGTGACCCTCTCCCGGTCCTGGGCTATTCCCTCCACGGGCTTCAGGCTCGGCAGCCCTGGGTTCTCACTGCTCCTGAAATGCCACTAAATCAACAGGACACAGGTGTGTTTGTGACGAGCGAGCTTCTAGGACAAAGAATGGAGGTCAGGGATGAAGCTGATGTAACCGCGTTCTGCTGCCGCCCCCCAAGCCCGCCTGACTCCAGGTCTGGCTAGTCCCGTCCAGAGGCGAGAGGGAAGGAGGGGCCGGGTCCACTCAAAAAGCAGTCAGTGACTCCCACGTCTCGACTCTGAAGCCACAGTAGTGGACTGGCATTGGCACAGACACGCAAGGCAAGGGGCAGAGCCGGGGCCGAAGTGGTGACCCCTCCACCCACGGTCAGTGGGTTCTGACAAGGGCCCTCGCTCCGACGGACGGTGTTGGGACGTCCCTGTGAGGACCCCTCCCTCATACCATCGTCAGACATCAGCTCAGAACAGGTCAAAGACCTGCGAGTATGAGTTAAAACTATAAACTCTTAGGGGCGCCTGGGTGGCTCAGTCATTGGGCGTCTGCCTTCGGCTCAGGTCATGATCCCGGGGTCCTGGGATCGAGCCCCACATCGGGCTCCCTGCTCGGCGGGAAGCCTGCTTCTCCCTCTCCCACTCCCCCTGCTTGTGTTCCCTCTCTCGCTGTCTCTGTGTCAAATGAATAAATAAAATCTTTTTTTAAAAACAAAACAAAACAAAAACTATAAACTCTTAGAAGCATCGCAGAATGACCCGGGATTAGGCAACAATTCCTTAGATAGGACACTGGGAGCATAAGTAGCTAAATAAACCCCAGATAAACAGACTTCATCAAAACTAAAAGCTTTAAGCGGTGAATGTTGTGGTGTGTGAGTTGTAGCTCAACTGAGAGCACAAGGCAGTTGCCCACTAAGAGCAGCCTGCAGCCATTGACACGGGAGGCGCAGGGACTCCAGTGTGGCGGGCTGGGCACAGGGAGAGGGTACGAGACTTCACCTGCTGAAGGGAAGCCTCCCTCACTGCCCCCCACGGGTTGCCCCCCACTCCATGCTGCCCTCACCCCCCTCCACCTGCTGTGCCCACACACTGCCCCCCAACAGTCTGTCCAGCCCCCCGTGCTGTCCCCCCACCCCGGGCCTCCCCCATGCTGCCCCCTGCCTCCCTCCATGGGCTACCCCCCTGCCTCCCCTGACGGGCTGCCTGCCCCTGGAACCTCCCCCCACAGCTGCCCCCTGCCTCCCTCCAATGGGCTGCCCCCCACGCTACCTCCCTCTACTTACGGACCTCCCCCCAACTGACCCCCTCCCCCGACAGCTGCCCCTGCTTCCTCCAATGGGCTGCCCCCCCACCACCCCGGCTTCCACAGTGTCGGCAGCCAAGCCTGTGTCCTGCAGCAAGACTACAAGTTTCTATTCTGAAATCTGAGGATACAGGAGAGAAGACCCATGATCCTGAGCCCAGCCCATCAACCCACCCGGAACCCACGTGGAAGTGCACAGGCCACCGGGGCGCGTGCAGCCCTGGCCACCGCCACAGGGCACCACCTGGGAGCAAAGTCTCTGATTCCAAAGTCAGAGGCCAAGCAAACAAACCACAAGCAACCTGGATAAAATAAAGGTTATACAGAGAGAAGAAAATGTCAAAACCGTATTGTTGCCATCCTTGGAGAAATCTGGAGATGCGATCCATCCGGAACACGGGAACAGGGTGCTCCAAGAGCACATGGGAGGGAAGCTGTGTCCTCATCAACACGTATCACCGGCCGTCCTTGCTCACTGCGGCCACGCTGGGCTGGTGGGCGTCCCCCAGCGCCAGCGACACAGGGCTCCGCTGCAGGTGCTCCCGGTCACCTGGGCCGTCTGCTCTGGAGAAGCGTCTACGTGGACCCTCTGTCCACTTTGAAATTGGGCTGTCCTGTTACCGAGGTAGGAAGGTTCTCCCTGCATGGCAGACCGGCCACGGGACACGGGGCGCGCACGCAATTTTTCCCATTCTGTGGGAGTCTGTCTCACTCGCGTCCGTCTGTCCCTCCGTGTCACCATGCTTGTGGAGCTGTGTTTAAGGCACCTGTGCCTGACCCGAGGTCATGACAGGAGAGCGTCAGCCCTGACATCTGCGGCTCCGACTCACTTTTAACTTTTGTTAGAGGTCGGGTGGGGTCACCTTCATTCTTTGATGTGTGGATATCTAGCTAGCCCAACATGGCCTGTTGGGGACCGGCCTTGGCTCCCCCCTCGGTGCGTCCTGACCGTGAGGGGCACTTCCAGGCTTTCCCTCCCGCTCCCTTGTCATCCACCCCGCGGTTAGATTAGGCTTCTGGATCTGTCTTGTCCCATGAAACCAAATCTTATATCCTGCTCCCGGAAGAAAGTACTTCTGAACACAATGGGGTGTGTGCACCTACACACACGTGCACACGCGCACACCCATGCCCTACACAGGCAGGTGGCCACCGTGAGGTTGGGCCCGTGTCTGCCTCTGCCTTGGGGGCTGGAAGAGAGGTTCCCAGGGGAGGCAGATGCTAGCTTGGTTTCTTCTACTCCGGACGCTGGGCTGACTGGACACGTGTGGGACCGAGAACAGTTCTGCCTCATGTCATGGTCTCTGCTGATCCGGCAGGCGGTACCAGACGGCCGTTACTGCAATGGTCCTGCCAAGGAGCATCCTGGCACTGCACTGCAGGGTCACAGAGAGGCCCGAGTGTGGACCACACAAGAGCCGGCAGAGCAGGGCCCGTCCAGGGCGGTGGGCTGGGGCGGCGGGATGTGTGAGGAGCACGGCTAACCGTGGGGCCAGCAGGCAGAGGAACCACTGTCTACAGAGTCTGGGGTCCAGAGCACCACAGCCCCTAGCTTCCGCCCGGGGCTCCCACCCTGTCCCTGCTGCCCTCCCCCGCAACCCTGACGAGCCACACAGGCTCCGGGAGTGTCTGCTGGACGGAGGGGAGGCCTTGTTATCAGGGCTGTAGACACACCAATAACCAGCTTGACCCTCTCCTCCCCTCCCAGCATCCCTAGGTGCCTTGGCCATTAGTCGTCCACTTGCAGCTCAGGGCTCCCTCTACCCCACTGCCTGTGCTGGGCCCCAAATGAGCTCTGACCCTGACCTCAATGGGCTCACATCCATCCATCCATCCTTCCATCCATCCATCCATCCACTGGTTACTGCACTCTCTCTGGAAAGCCCCCGGACACCAGTCCCCAGCTGGGTTTTCAGATACATGTGCCCCATTTTCCAGGGCAGCCCAGGCAGCTGTGAAGGATCAGCAAGAGCCAACAAGCCTTGTCCTCATGGGGTGCACATTCCAGCAAGGCCAGACAGGTAACGAACTGGCAGGATGCTGGGAAGCAGCAAGGTGCTGCGTCCATCCACTGTGGAGAGCACAGTCCATTCAACGGGTGGTGCACGTCCCCACGTGCAAGAAACCTAACTCACCACATACAGGGTTAACTCCCATTGGTCAAAGCCCTAAATGTAAGAACAAAAACTAAAAAACCCTTACGAGAAAACAGGAGTAATTTTCCTGACCTCGGGTTAGGAAATGATTTCATAGTTATGACGCGGAAAACACAGACAACAAAAGAAAAAATAGAAAAATCAGGCTTCACTGAGGTGACGACCTGTCCCTAGCAGGGCTCCCACCACTGTGACAACTAGTGGTCTCAAGGGGACAGGCACGACCGGAAAGCAAGGGGCCGTCTGGCCGCAGCAGTGGTCCCCAGGGTGCCCTGGCCCCTCCCCGGGGGCAGAGGGGAACACAGACCTGGGCAGGGTGGTCAGGGCATGGAGGTCTGTGCACGTAGCTCCCCACTGGCTCCCTGCGTGTGATCCCTGCTCCCAAGAGTTCTGGGGACCGTGGGTTCCCTGGGTCTGAGCTCCTGGGCCCAGAAGTCTGGCGATGGGGGACTGGGGGTGTGCCCCCAGCTGCGGCAAGTGGGGCTGTGCAGGACGGTGGGGTCACGGGGAAGGAGTGCGGTGTTGTTACCCCCGAGGGGGCTCTGCTGCGGGCCACACCACCGGCCTGTGACTCCTGCAGCAGCCCTGGCCCGTGTGGACAGCTGTCCGCCCATCCTGCCACACCCACAGCCTCGTTTCAGACTGTGGCTCTCAGGTGCTTCCTCCACAGAGGTCCCCCCATCACGTGTACACGGGCACCCTTGACCTCCCGGCCATGGAGCCACCAACCACAGCTGTCATGAAAACTACACTTGTCAAAACAAATGATGGCAGCAAGGGATGACGACCTGAGAAAATCAACACTGGTAGACAATCC